TGTGAGAAAAGATGACTTCAAGTCATCTTTATAATGGAAAAAGAGGTCTTATATTTTCTCTCCTTTTTTCACCCATGAAGATATCTGGGTTAGTTTTCCAGATGTACTTCACCTCCTTTTTTTTCCCCCGTCTTGGGAAGCTCCATTTTCTGTATTTGCTATTTAAAAGTCACTAGATGCAGAGTATGTAAAAAAAAAAAAATAAAATCCCATACCAGGGCTTGGTAGATCTTGCCTTGTGGACACTTATGACCTCCACAACAGCAAATGATTGAAAACCACTGATCTACCTCAGCAGTTTGACTTTCCCCACATACAAGGTGAGGCTGCTCCCTGTGCCTGGTTTGGTGTGACCCTGAGCCTCGTTAGTGTTTGTGCAGGACCTGAGTCTGTTGAGGGTTTGAACGGGGACAGGACTTTCCCAAAATCTAAACTAATCTACAAAAAGAGATAGGACTAAATGGTTGGATTGCATCTCAGCACTGTGAGCACTTGAGCTGAGGATCTGCCCCTTTCCCTGCCTGCCCCTGCAGCCAGAAATGTGTTCAGCAGGACTGAGCCCGGGCCTGACCTCTGCTCCTGTACATCCCTTCTAAGCTTCTGGGAAGGCAAGGGCAGATAAGCTTGCTGAGCCCCGTAAGGCTAATGCTCTGTGGATCCCAAGGAAAGGGTGCAAGTAAGTCCTAAGGAGTCCAGGGAAGTTGTGTTGTTACTCTCTGAACAGCTCCACGAAGTTACCTCTTCCCTTACCCAGCTGGGTTCGAAGAAACGGTACCACGTTTTTATCTTTTTTGTCTAGCTTGTGTTATTGTATTAAATGGAGTGCCTCAGATTATTGCTTTCAGAGAGGTGTTTTTCATCTGGTTTTAAGAAGCTGTGTGAGCCATGAAGGAGAGCACTGGGAATATTCCCTCCTTGTGCATTTTCAAGTGCGCACAGGGAGTTTGGTTTCTGATGTGTTTGTGGAGGGGATTGTAATCCCCACCTGCAGCATTGCAAGACCCTGATTAACATGGCTTTGCTTTCCTCTGGCACTCGTCTTCTAATAAATTTATTCTCATAACTTTCATATAGAAAAAAACATCCCTTTGCCCTCACTTTACAGACACTACTCACCTTTTAACTCTTCAGAGATACACACTTTTCAGTCACATATATATAAGTGTAGCCAGAAGTACAGATCCACAAACAGTAATGAAATTTTCACCAACAGGTTATTGCTGTTTCCTTTATAGGATTACAAACACTCCTCAGTGGCTAAGAAAAAACACTCTCCAGAAGGGACCTGTTTTACTCAGTTGCTGACAGCCACAGGGATGGACTTGGAAGAAGTGTGGCTGAAAACTGCTCTCTGACCATCCTGGGTAAAATCATGCTACATTTCCCTTTTTTTTTTTTTTTTTTAATGTTAAATCCATGGCCATAGTATTTAAGTGCCTGCAGACATCTCCTTGACACCTACCCCTGAACATCTTGGCAACAATATCCCTGTCTGTCCCAAGCTGCCCTAGGATAGATTGGGTTCGAAATGCCATTCCTTAAATGTTAAAGCCTTTAAAAGCATAGGTGTCTGAGGAACTAAGCAATCCCATGCCCACTGCATACCACGCTTCTTGAAGCTGCATTGTCCAGCCATTCCATCAGCTTTTATGCACTGATGTATGTTCTTTCTCAAATGCTTTGAGGGTGACTTCGTTATTGAAGCAATGGCTTTGGTGCTGTGAGCTCAGAAGATGATGTGAAAGCCTGCCTTTGGTGAGCAAGACAGCTTGACTTGTATCTTGGTAAAGCAGGACCCTCTCAAATCTTTCTGCCTTTGCCCAAGGGTTCAGGGAATGCTCCTGTCTTATCCCTCTCTTTATGGGTGTTGGGTATTATTTGTCTTTTTTACTCTCAGGTTGTGCTGCCACTCAGGTTGTGAAAAAGCTCAAGTGTCTGTTCTACCCCAGGATCAGCTATTATCAAACTGCACCATCCATCATTCAAATCAATCTCCACTTCCTCCCACCCAGCTCATTAACTTTGCTTTCACTGTCTGATGATCTTTAGGGTTACAAAAGATCTGGGCCTTCCCTGTTCCTGAAATGGCAGTTCCTTCCTGGGTGCCTGGAAAGTGCCATCAGTCACAGAGAGAGCCTTTCGAAGGGCAAGGCTGTAAATGAGAGAAGTGACGTCAAACCCAAACCGATGAACTGTTCTCAGAGAAACAAATCAATCCACTGCTAGGCACAAACACTCAACTGGAACCTACAGGAGCTTCACTTGGGGGGGTAGAACTGGACATGGAGAGACCCAGAAAAGGCATTCACAGGAAGAAAAGGACTAATATAAACTGATATTCATCTGTGCTCTTAAGAAGCCTTCCTTTAAGCCCCTAACAACTATTCATCAAAGCCCATTCATCCTCCATTTCAGTTCATGTCCTTCTTAATGGGTCATCCTGAGCTCATCTTTCCTTCAGTTCCCTTTGCCCCTTGCTGCTGGCTCTGTGTCTCACCAGGGACATGCCCACCTCATCTGCTGGAGACAGGGCTGGCACTAAAAGCTAATGGGAAAGACAACTGTGGTCTAAACTGTTTGCCTCCTTGTTCCTCGCCAGTTCTACCCAAGAATGTCATGAGGAATCTCCTGGGGTTTTTTTATTTCAACCCTCAGAGATCTTCTCATCAGAGCAGGAAGAAAGGTAGAAAAAAAACTGGTGCTCTCAGGCCATATAGATACAGGGAACTTAAGAGCATCTGTAACTACTGGAACCTGATCCAGTGCTCCCGAGGGTCTGTACCAACATTCATTTCCTTTATTCCCTGAGCTGTCAGGTCCTCCCCCTGTGTGTAATCAGTTGGGTCTTTGGGAAACTCAAGATTTCCTCAGTCATCTTATGACCAAGGTGAGATTCACGTCAAAGTCCCATGGCAGGTCCCTGAAGAACGAAAGAGGAATGAGTCAGACCTGACAAACAGCTCTTTACACCTCTAGATTCCAGAGAGGAGACAGGCCCGATGTGTTCCCAAGGGCTTATCACAGAAACCAATTCCCAGGCCACGGTGCAGCTTGCACAATGCCTGCTAAATGCAGAGAAGTGCAGCAGAATTCAGAGGAGTGCTGGCTGTGCAGCTGCACGTTGCTTCTTGAAGCCTGCAGTGAAAAGGCAGACTGAAGGAGCTGGGGAAAGTTCTAGACCAGACTTAAACAATAAATGGGCTTGCAGGACACCCTCAGCCAGTCGAGCAATTTGTTTGGCCTGCCAGGGGGCCAGGAAACAGGGTGGTGTTTGATCAGTGGGTGCTGAGAGAGGTTCCCACGGCTTCCACCAGCTCTCCAGCTCGTGCAGGAGGGGCATCCCCTCAGCCAGCACCTCCGAGCTGCACGGCTGCCAAAAAAAATGTCCTGTCCCAGTCAACGGAGAGGCAGAGCAGAGGGGAGGCAGATGAAGAACCAAGGAGGATGGAAGACCTGAGACAGTGATAGAGGCATAGTAAGGTATGACAAAAGGTGCAGTTTGAACTTGCTGAGCCTTCCCACCCTAAAGCTGCAGCGGGGCGTTCCAGGCCAAAATGCCATCGTACGAGGGAAATAGGGCTGAGTCACCAAATTCACTGCTCTGCTGTTTCACGCATCTCATCATGTAACGCCTGACAAAGTCTGCTTTGTTTGGTTTTGTCTCTGGTGTTCCCATAGAGAGGCTCTTCCAGGCCCTCCCTTTTCTAACAGGTATAGTCATCTTCTGCTGTTTATTTATAGATTGTTTGCCCTTATGCTAAATCTTTCCTTACCCCTCAAAGTTCTTAGGCCTGCCTGTTGATGTATCGACAGACAACAGTTATATCCATTCTGTCTTCACTCTGCAGGCTGTACAGTGTAAGCAACACACAGTTCAGCCCATCTAGGAAAGCTGAGTTGCAAACACTGTATAATCAGAATTTCAAATGATACCAGAAAGTCCACAGGTTTTTTTAAGTATCTTTCATTCAGAGCCTCTAACCAGTGTTAATCCTTCCTGACTCCTTTTGTAGCAAAGGGTGTTCTTTGCAGCTCTCTTTGCTGGAAGGATAGGAATTTCCAGCCCACAAATCAGTGAGACTTCCATCTGCTTGGAGTTGGGCATGTGCATAACTGTTTCTCTGGATCAAGATTAGAGTTCTCACTGCTTGACAAGATTCAGCTTGTGGTTTGTGAAGTGCTGCCAGTTTGTCTGGAGTTAAAGGTTTATATAAAGTATCAATTAAAAAAGGGCAATCCTCTATTTCAGGTTTATGTGTGTACTGCATTAATTAAAAGCTGGTTGGGAAACAAGAAGGACACGGTGCAACACCATTGCTTGTATCACACTTCATGCCACGTGAGCCGATCCATGTTCCCAAAGAGCTGACAGCAATCTATTGGCAAAACCAAGATGGGAAGGGACAAAAAAAGGTGCAAAGATAATGTTTGCAGTGTGAGGAAGAGGCAGCATCTCTTGATCTCTGAATGTAGCGAGTATTCACTTTACTTTCATGCTTTATGGTGCTTTTTCTGGGGATAAAATGTTGACAATTATAGAGGAGCTTCGGTGGAACTGTAACAATTTTCCTTGGCCTCTGTCTTGCTGATTTCCAGCCTGCAACGACCAAGACCAGATTTTATTTGTACGGATCTGCCAGAAATATCAGGACAGGAATTCCTCTCTTTATGTCGCCTGACCCCGAGGAGTGCCGGAGGGGGCTGACAGGGCTCCGGGATGACAAGCGCAAACCCAAGCCGCAGGTTTTTTTTGCGTCAGCCAAATCAAAGTGCGGCGGGGAAGCAGGACGGGGACCCTCCCGCGGGGCTCTTCGGCGGGCGGGAGTGGGGCGGAGGGAGCAGGGAGCGGAGTTCGCGGCCGCTGCGGTTCGAGGGCAGGGCAGGCGCTGCCGGGCCGGGGCGGGGCGCGGGGCCGGGCTATGGGCGGAGGGCAGGCCGAGGGCGGGGCGGCGGCGCGGCTGGCCCGGCCCGCCGGGAGGGAGCGGAGGGAAGGGGAACGCGCTGCGCTGTTGCCCTTTTAAGCGAGCGAGCGGGCGCGGGAGGCCGGTACAAAGGGAGCTCCGCCGTGCCCCGCCGGCTGGGGCTGCCCCGGCCCCGCCATCTTCCGCCCCGCAGGCGCGGCCGGGGCCAGGGTCGGGCCGGCCCAGGCGGAGGGAGGCGGCGGCAGCGCAGGCCCGGGCCCGGAGATGAGGCCAGGATGTCGGTGTCAGGGCTCAAGGCCGAGCTGAAGTTCCTCGAGTCCATCTTCGACAAGGACCACGAGCGCTTCCGCATCGTCTCCTGGAAGCTGGACGAGCTCCACTGCCAGTTCGTGCTGCTGCCGCCGCCGCCGGGCTCCAGCCCGCAGCCGCCGCCGCCGCTCACCATCCACTGCAACATCACGGTGCGGGGGCCGCGCGGGGCGGGCAGGGCCGGGCACGGCCCGCCCTCGCCATTGTCCGTGGGGCGCGGGGAGGGGGCGCAGCCCCGCGGGGGTGACTCAGCACGGGGGGTGGGGGGGCCGGGGCCGCTCCCGCGGGGGCTCCGAGCGCCCTCCCCGCCGCTACCGCAACAAAAGTTACAGCGGCCGGGCGGCCCCGGCCTGTCCTCTGGGGGCTCGGGGTGCGGGGGAAGGACGCGGGGCCGGGGGCCGGAACAAAGGCGCTCCGAGCCCCAGGGAGTGCCGGGCAGAGCTGCGGGGCCCCGTTGCCGCCCCGTCCCTCGCGGGGCGCGGGCAGCGTTTCCCCCGAGCCCCGGCGGGGCCGGGCGCGGCTCCGAGTGCGCCACAGGCCGGGCCTGGCCGGGCGGGGCAGCCCGGGGACGGCGGGAGCGTGAGGGGGGACACCCACCCGTTGGGAGGGTGACACGGACCCCGCTCCGCCGCCGAGGGGCTGCGGTACCGTCACGGTGCCCTCGAACTTGTGAGGGGGCACGGGCAGCCTCGAACCTGAGGGGCTGATACCTCCGGAGGGCTTTGGGGCTTCTCACTGCTGTGTGGTTGTTTTTCTGATTTCCCCCCTCTACCCTCCTCCCATTAAATTCGTTAGCTTTGTTTTAAATGAGTGGAAGAGAAGCTGAATAAAACGTTCGGTGTTGTTGTAACGTGGTAAAAATCCTCTGGTTTTTTGTTTTTTTTTTTTTTTTTTTTAGAAGTTTAGGGCCTAAACTTGCCAAAGGACTTGAATATATTGGCGTCTGTGACTCATGTACTGGAAAGTGCTGGAGGTTCATTTTTATTGAGTTGGTTGTAGTTATTGAGTGAATCTAAATGCCTTATTCGACTGAAAAACTTGGGGTGAAAACAGCATATTTTGGTTTGAGGAAGGTGCTGCTTTTATGTCTTTGCATGAAAGTTTCAGACAGCATGGAGGTAGAAACATTCATGTAAGTGTGAACATTTCAGTACTGAAAGATGAAAGTGTGCATGCAAATCAAATAATAAACCTGATCAGATTCTCACTTGGCCTAAAGTAACTTGATTAAGTTAAAGGAGACTCGTTAAGCAGACTTTTCAGGTTTCACAGTTAACTGTCATGAGAAGTCAGTTTTGTGGTCGTGGGACAGGTGTTTGTTTTACTGGATACTTGTAAGACATAAGATGTTTTTTAAGGTAAAATAAACAAGATGCTTTGGCGTTCTTGTTTTCAGACGTGACCCATCAGATGATGGACTGCGTGACTTCCTATAAATGTTTTTTATTCAGTAGGAAGTGTTGCACTGCTGAGAAGTTGGGCTGTTTCTTTCCACACGACACGATCTGTTTCATAAATCTCCTTGTAAAGAGTGAAGTGGAAGGTTGGATGATTGTGCACCCTCAATTGCCAGCTGAATTTGATGGGTCATTTCTTCTTTGTCAAGTGACAGCTAACAGGGAGGCCAGTAGTAAGGCCTGAAGTTGTGCCTGGGATTTGTGCTGTGGTGTTTATCTACTTGTGAGACGCTTCTGTTGTAACTACTTTTGATAGTGATTCTTAAGTTGAAAATAAAAAAGCCCACTTACCCGTAGGCCTTTGGTTGAGGAGTGTCTGAGCAAGCCAGAAGCAACTTAGGTCACTGTTGTCATGTTTGTGTGTTAATGAGGGAGCAGCGTCTGCAGTCTGCTGTTACAGTCACTCGCCCCAAAGGTCAGGAGGTCTTTCACGTGCCATTAGAGTCGTGGCATATGAACTCGCAGAAAAGAACAGGAAAAGTGCTGGTTTCGAACCTCAGAGCTGAGACTTCGGCTTTGATGAAAGGCCGCGTCTGAGTTTGTTGAAACTTCTGCTTCACAGCTGGTCTGTGAGCAGCTTGGTGCTTTCCAGTGTTGACTAACTTGGGGCTCTCGGAGGCAGGTGTTAAAAATAACTGGCAGAGGGCAACCTGAGATACAGAAGTTGCTCCCTTGAAACAAATGGGCAGCAGGTGACAGAGCCAAGAAGAGGGAGCTCATCTCTGGGCTTCTGTCCTAGTTTTTTGACACAAACGTTAGAATTCGAAGTGTGGCAAAAGTGACTGGTTTTTTGTTTTTTTTTTTTTCTCCCTCTCCCCACTGAATGGGATCTCTTGGCTCTGACTCCTAATTGCCTCCAGGTTTTGGGGTTTTTTGTTGTAGGTGGTGTAAATTAGAAAAGCCTAAGTCTTGTTTACTGTGCTTTGGTGGTTCTGCAGGTACTGTGGGGACTAGAACTTCAGGTAGTAGTAGCATGGAAAAGCTGGTAAGGCCATAAAGTTGTTGGTAAACATGTTTTCTTGGGGACACTCGCTCTCTGCCTCAGAAGCTGTTATCTCAGTGCTCTGGATTTGCAGAGCAAATATGTAACTTTAGCTGTTTGCTTCTTCTAACCAGTTTAACCCCTACAATACCGATCCAGCTGGGGTATTTCCCTTACTCAGCAAAAGCATACAGTGGGCTGTGTGTTTGGGCTCTCAAGAATCCTGTCAAGGGACAGAGGTAGCACAAAGCTTCATAATATCGCTTTTCTTCTTCGTGGCTCTGTTTAGATAACTCAGCATTTCACCTGAAATGAAAGCTGTCTAGCAGTGAGTAGAGACGCTGAAGTTACTGGTTGGAGAAATACCTGGCAGGGAAGGAATTGAAGTCTGAAAAGAGATCTGATAACCAAGTTGTTCTGATATTCCCAATGCACCCCTCTCTCTTTTCCAGTCGAGAGAGAGAGAAGGCAGAGGGAAGAGGGAACATTCTCCTGGAGAGGTGAGGGAGAATATCTGCCTAGGAACTGTATGGATCTCCACACGTGTCCTAGACTAAAATTGACAGTTTGATTAGAAGTCTGCCCTGGCATTTCCCACTGGTGGTTGTCTCTGTGATACAAGCCTGTAGAACTGTCAAAGTTCAGGATGGGCTGCAGCATCCTGGGGATGGTCTGCCTGTGACACAGAACACTGCTGGAAATTAAAGCAGGATGCATTTTACTTGGTAGCTCTGCTGTTTTATGGAACGGCAGCCAAACTTTGTCCAAGTCTGTCCATCACTATTTCTGGCAGTGACCCATATTGGAGCTTACATGGTTAATCAGATTATTGTAAAAGAGGCACTTGAGGGTGGAGTCATCCCTGTCAGAACCATTGCTGCTTATTCCCGAGAACTGTCTAATTATTGAACTTGTTCAGGCTGTGTACCTTCACATTCCCATTTCGTTATGCCAACAGCAGCGTCTCCATTTGGAGTTTTATTTCTGTTTTTCTCAGGTTTCCTTCTTATTTGACAGCACTGTTCTAGTTGATGTAGTTCAATAAGTTCTGTGTGGTTCTTGAAATAGTATCAAAATTGTGGCCTTACTTAAAGGAGTGTGTTTATTGACCATGACTTTAGGTGAGTGTCCTTCAGTACAGTCTTTAGTTTCAGTTTGGTCCTTTATCAGACTTAGATCATAGTTTTGCAAAGGGTGTGTTACACCCAAATCTTTTCCTTATCACAGCAAGAAAAAGCCCTGGTTTGGACTGCTGTAAAACATTTCCTATTTCTTGTATCCTCTCTTCAGATGAGGAACTGGATATTAATATCTCCACACACACACAAAATGACTGTTGAAATTCTGTGTCCTCAAGTACCACTTGCAGGTAGAAGGGGGTTTGTGCCACCTGCGAGGGGGAGCAGCTGCCCCAGACAGAGCCAGGGCTGGGAGGTGCAGTGACACCCTCCACACGTCAGTGATTCAGTTCAGGTGATGGGGCTGACTCACTAAACTCCTGCCTCCCTGCTGGAAACAACGAGCTGCTGCGTTCCCTGAAAAATGCCCCGCTGCTAAATCAGAGTGAGGAGCTGCTGGGAAAGACTTGAAAAGGTTGCTGTCTGCAGATTACTGCAGTTGATGGGGAGATGATGACTTTGTTTTCACTTCTAAACCAGGATGGATAAGAAGATATTACCTGTGAAGCTTTTGACAAGTTGGGTATATACAGAAAGTGAGTGTATTAGAACATGTGACAGGCCTTCAAAGGTGTAAGATTTTAATATTAAACTCACTCCTAGTAATGCCTGCTAACCTTTTAAAAAGATTATATGTTTGTACACAGAACTAACCACATAATGAATGAGGTGTTCAGTTCCAACCTCAGGCTTTTTTTATTATTTTTTTTTTTAATCACTAGACATTCTGTAGTGAGGTTGAGGCCTTTGTTTTGCAGCATACGGATAACCAGGATTGTATAAAAGCACACATAGATTTGTCTTGATAATATGCAGGTTTTGGCTAGAATTAGACACACTTGGTCACCTAAAAAAGGCACTCATGCAACTATTTTCAAACGTAACTAGTGCAATAGAAATTGAGACTTTAACGTTGTTTTATTTAGCAAACGAAAATTAAACAAAAAAAATACTAAAAGAGGGAGGATTTTAGTTTTTCTTTCTATGCCGAGACTATAATTAGAAGAAGAATATTGTAAAAAGAGTAGGAGGAGTCTGTTGTCTGGAAGACAGGACCTTTGTGACACTACAGTCTGGTTGTGTGATGTGTGAAAGGCTGTAACTAAAACCTCAGGACTCTGCAGGCAGTTCCTCTCTACTATGTCTGAAGTGCTTCTAAAATATCCTAGAGGGTCACAATGGTAGACTTCAACTAGAAAAGCTGACTTATGTTGAATTTTCAGTGTAAAGGAGATGCTGCTGCTTTCCAGTGGATTATTCACATAAGTTAATGATAGAGTAGTTTCAGAACTAGAACTGTTGTGGTCCTTGAAAGAACTCTCTGCACTTTGATAATTAAAAGAATTAGAAGTTTTGCAGGAAGAATTAAATCCTTTTTGCTCAACGTGCTTCCTCAAGTGAACTGTTCAGCAGGTTTTGTGCATTGATGACTTGTTGATACCCTCGGCAGGAACTGAAAATCACAATTGTTGGGAGGAACAGAGCGTGGTGGTGTCTGCAGTGCTGCCCAGTGCAGGCTGTGTGCCATGTGAGGT